CACAAACAAACAGTATTTATGTCACATCTACTATTTATGTCACATCTACTCAGAGAAATGTTCTACATCCATTTGCTCATCATCAGAACTAGAGGCTCTGACCACTCATAAAACACCGTGTGTGTTTGGATACAGACCTGAACTTTGAGCTCTAGCCCCGTGCTCTGCTCAGAGCATCTTGCAATGATATTTTCAGAAATCCCACATAAGTGGTACATCCCACAAGATGGTACTGAAGTTGCTACTATCTTCGGCGTTTGGCTTCACCTGGCAGGTCAATAAATTCAGTTTAGCTGGTTGCCTGTTGGACTAAAAAGAAAATTTATTTTATTTTAAAAATGTATTGATTTAGGATTAATTTCCCTTTCTGGGGAGTGGGCATGTATGATATTACTTAAAGCTTGGATATGCACACATATCCACCCTCAAAAAGCTGGAGACCCGCATCACTTGGTCTGATTTAGTCTCTCAAAACAGACACATTGCTAAATCTAAACAAAATTAAAATCTTCATGGCCTCACTTTATCTGAAAGGGATGGAAAGAGAAAACCTGAAATTTACAATATGCTAATAGTAATATTTTTTAACTGCATTTCATCAACAATGGCAAAACTATAATGGAGTTTTTCATTACAGCATGCCCATAATCCAAGTTTCCTCCCATTTTAAATAAATCAAAGATATAATCCTAAAACTTTAAAAGGGAAGTGGAAAGCCAAAGATCTGGAGTTTATAAACTCAGGATAAATACCAATATTCTGTGCTGCAATTAAGCCACTTAAGACATGATAATAAAATGAATCTTTAAGAAATTTGGGATTTATACAGGTAGTAAGCTTTAGAAATTGAGGGCAAAGGGGGAAAAGAGGTGAGGAAATGGGATAATTTCCTTTAATAAGAGCAACTCCTGTGCTTGTTTCCAACAAGTTCATGTTACACTCCCACAAGGCAGTTTTAGCTCTGCCTCCACCATGATCACCTTGGTGCTACCTCACGATTGAGCATTCCTAGGAAAATCCTTTAGATATGTGCCTGATTCCAAGAACTCACTGTGATCAAAACTTCACAACATTTCAAGATTTTAATTGAAATCACTCAAAATACTAAACACATTCACTCATCTGCCAGCCTCTAACCTAGTATCAAGTGCTTCCCAAGTTCCCAAATTATGTGGTTCACACATACACCATGACAATCCTCATAGACAAATCCATCTGAAGTATTGAGATGTTTGTTCAATACATTTGCCATTTTTTTATTAAACTACTGATAAATTCATTTCATAAGCTACAGTTTCACAAAACTTCAACAGTCAGAAGCTGAAGTAACATCCTTTTTGTAATAGCATATTAGCAGCAACAAATTCACCAGGAAAGGACAATGCTATTTATTATTTCCATATAAAGGTATAAAAATAACTTACCGTTGCATGTGAGATGGTAAGAATTCCATTTTTAACAGTGCACTTTCTTCTTTGCCATACTTTCCTTAACCTACAAAAACCCACCGTATCAAGTTTAGTAAATGGATGTAACTTCAAAACACATTAATATCATTATCAGTTTGAGACAATTATCTTTAAAAAACAAACAGATGCAGTCAAAATTTTATTAAATGCTTCACCAAAAAAAACCACTTGGATATTTGTGAGAGATCTTAATCATCTTTCAGAGAATTATAAAGACAATAGCTTTCTTTTAACTATGACTATTATTTTTACACTTGCTTGTCAGGCTTTTAATATTTGATATATTAATTCAGTCCTGTGTTCAGGATTGACCTTTGGAACTCACAAATACTTGTGGCACATATAGGAGAATATGCCTGAAACCACAGTAGTAAACTATTAAAATTAGAGCCTGAACATAATAGTAGACTTCACTATTGTGTGATATCAGAACATACCCATCACTCTTCTTTAGAAGATAGCCTTTCTTCTCACTGCCATACTCCTTATTCCCCTGAAGCTGATGCATACTGTACCCTCCTTGCCTGCTCTGTGAATCCTGAAAAGGGGAAACACAACATTCATCTTCTGATGTGCACAACTTCCCCAACCTTTAATCCTATTTTATTTTTTCTTCTCTACAACATCATTAATTAATACAGATTAAAAAAGGAGAACTCCTACTGCATGTTTTACATTCACTGGAGAGCTTGCTTTGACACAATGCAATCTTGAACTAAAGGCATGTTCAAGATTTAATTA